AAGTAGAAATAATTAAAAAGCCAAAATAAAGAAATTCATAAAACTTTTTCAGGTTGTTTTGAAGGTATTGTGGTGCCTTACTATAGTCCTTGAGTAAAGTATACACTTCATTATGCTTGGGATGCCTTGGATAGCAAAGTTCATCTATACAATGAGCTTGTTGTATCTTTGATTATTCTTGAAACCTTAGATTAAATAAATCAACAAAAACAAGAATTCAAATAAAATTCTTAACATCACTAATCACTTATATCGAAACCATCCCAAAACAAAATTAAATTTCAAGTCAATTTAGAATATTAAAACAACAACAAAACTTAATAAGCAGGAACCCTCATGGCCTAATACACATTATATGCTAGATATTACACAAGCTTAAGAATTTATTTAGATTTGGTACGTTTGAGCTTTATTTGGAAGATTTCTGTGTCGTGGTGTTGACATGTAATGTGGTGTTATGATGTGATGTTGTGTTGTGATGTTGTGATGTTGTGATGCAATCTTTCGTTGAGATTTAATGTGAAATTTGTGAAAATGAATGTCTATAAATAAAAAAGAATGAATTACTCGAACTCTTGTTCCGCATAGCGTCATGCTTAGAGGGATTTAGGTCCCGTTTGGGGCAGCTTTTTTATAGCGGTGCGGTCTCAAGCCGCGCGTTTTTTTTTTTTTGTTTGGTAGTCGCGTTTCACGGCGGCATCCGAAAAGTTTCACGGAAAGCGAGCCGCGGGTTGGACCCCGCAGCCCGCATTTCCTATTACACGGCGTCGCTTATTTTACTAGCCTACCCTCTCTTCTCTCGACCCGAGCCCTCTTCTCTTGCGGCCCCCTCTTCTCTCGCTATCGGGCAATCGAGTACGGATGATCTTCGGAGGCACAGGGGAACCCGCATTGTCATTGTCATTATACAGTTCTGGAGTCGGAGCATTTGTTTGTTTGCCGACGCGCAACCGCTGGCATTGGCTGCGAAGAAGACAGAAAAACGGAACCCTTCTCCGTCTCCCATTCTTCTTCACCTCTCTCACCATGGTTGCACGCACGACCAAGCGACTCAAATTTGCTACCCAAGCTTGCGATGGGAGAAGGGAAGATGATTATTTGCCTGGCAACATAACGGAGATCGTGATTCACAACTTCATGCCCTATGATCACCTAGTATGCAAGCTTGGATCCCTCCTTAACCTGGTAATAGGCCCTAACGGATCAAGGAAGAGACCTCTTGTGTGCTCCTTTGTCTGGGTCTTGTTGGAGAGCCGCAGGTCTTGCCTTGGATGTTTTATTATTATTATTCTGTGTAGATTTATGATCATATTTGCTTATTTTGTTGCTTGTAAATAGAAACCATGCTTTAGATATGATTTTCAATTTTGGTGGTTTTGATTGAAACTAAGCCAGTATTCATTAATTTTTTTGGTTTTGGCGAATTTTCAGAGTTTTTTGGGTGAAGTTCGAAGAAATTCGAAGTTAATGAGAAAGCTTTGCTAAAAATTTTGATTGTCAAAATTATACTAGAATGCAGTTACAGAGGACTCACCTTGATATTGGTATAAGATTGTTGACGACCAGTCTGATTCTATGATCAATTTGGGCATCGGAGCTTGGAATGATTAACCGTTTCATGATTGTTGAAATTTTAACGGGTTGATCTCTTGATAGCGAATGCCAATGCAACTATTCTTATAAGCATCAATGAGATTTAGGACCAAGTAAACATAAGTTATAGGTGAAGACTATTGTCAGTCAAACACCTGATGATCAAGATTTGAAGGCAAATAATCTAGTACTTTGAATGGAAATAATGGTAGTTGGACTAGTGTAACTAGCCAACTGAAGATAAGGAAGAATTTCAAATTTTGATATAGCTTGCGAGTTTGTGCGATTAGTTTGTGTATATAATTTTGAGTTTAAGTTATGATTTTTATATTTTTTGGAGTTTGTTTCTTTTTTCGAGTTAATTAAGAGTTTATAAGAATTATTTTTCAGTTATAATTCCCTGGAAGTAAGTTCATTCCCTAAATAAAGTCTGAAACTGCCCCATGTAGTTGTTGATAACCCTTGATGTCACCAGCCAACTGTGGTCTCCTGAAACTATTTTAGAGGAAAGGGTTTTCAAAATTTACTCACGTTCAAAATCTAGCCTTGACAGGTTCTGGAACTTATTTGAGGAATCGATTGGTGATGTTTTTTTTTTCTTGCAGCTGGCGAAGTTATGTATGAGGCTCAATTGTTTGTGAAATTTTTAGGGTTGGCCATTTTAACATAAGTCGAATCTAAAACATTTACTCTCCTAATCGGATCATCAGATGGTCAACGCTTAATCTGACCAAACCATCTAAGATGACTTTCTCTAATTTTGTTCGTCACAAGAGCTACACCAACGCTATCACATATTATATTTGATTACAAGAATAAGAAAAAAAAATCTCTATATTTATCTTTGAATTCATAGAAGAATATTATTTTGAAATAGTATATTATGCTCAACACAATATTAGATCACATAAATAAATTTTCAAGATTTGTAGTTTAACTTTCCTCCACTTATGACTTTCTAAATTCATATCCTCAAGAAAAAAATTTCTTTTGAATCTTTGTTTCATACTCCGAAGAATACATACATAACTAATTCTCTATGTTAAATAGTGAAACCCTCCCAAAATTACTTTATAATCATTTTAAGAAGAGCTTTCTTTCCTTAAAGTGCATAATGTTATTTGTAATAGGATATTTACCATTTTGCAAATAACTAAAAATTCATGTAAGCTTTGTATTTACTATTGAAAGATGCACAATAGGGGTCATCTCCCATTATATTTCTCCATCTTAACACATTCACGCCATAAATATTCTCATAATGCATCCTATTTTAACCTTTATGCCAATTTAAATCACCTCCAATAGATATCCTTACTTTTTCAGCCATACAAACTGTTCATCCATATCTTCCACAAAATATCTTATTATCCAATATGAGAAGCTAAGCATTAAGCACAATCATAGTATCCTCACCGATTATTATCTGAATGAAGGATAAATTATATGGTTGATATATGATATTCTTGTTAAATGATATCCTTGTCAAACAGTGCAATTAAACAATCCTAAAAAACACTATGCAAAAGCTCATGCAACCATCTTATCAAAACTTTTAATATAAACATGTAGCATAAAGTAAAAAATAAGAATAAAATAACATGTTGATATTTTCAGATCTGCAAAATATGAAGCTAGTGACCAAAGTATACAAGAATTATTTCTAACATACACACATTCAAAGCAACTTTTATGCATGACCCTCATCCACCCATTCAAATGGACAGCAAAACCTAGCACATTCATCCCTGAAAATCAGCAGCTGCCACAAAAAAGATAGAAGGCGGGTGAGCTAAATTTATAATTATAATGAGGACATTTGCGGCTGAACCTCCTACAAGTCTACCATTCAAACCAGAATAAATTTCTAAGCAATAGCTATACAAGCACTGTAACTACAAGTTATCTCTCAATGCTTAAACATTTATTGCAAGTTACACAGTGGCAAGCTGAAAGCGTAATGCTACTGTATCACAGGTTGCCAGCAATTCAAAAATAAGGAGAACTAGAAAAAAAAATGTAGATAGTTTGTTGTAGAGGATTCTTCAATCAACTTATCCATAGATTCTTCAGCTTTAGCACATTTGAACCTACACTTAGCCTAACATAAGATTCATTCTAGTCGTGGACAGATCACCCAAGTTCAAGTTCATAAATAATGATGATAGCCCTACAAGCTACTTGCAATTGTTTCCAGTAGTGGTAAAGCTACATGATATAAATACGGATCAAAATCCAAAAGTGAAGGCAAAAATTAAACCTTTATTCCAAATTTTTTCCAAATATGGAAGTAAATTCTGGTTGAACTCAGCCTTTCGCAAATAAGGTGCTTGTAGAATCAAACAATTAATAAAATACATATTCTCAGTTCAAGACTCTTTAGTTTACAAATAAATCTTGCATCAAAATGAACTATTGCATCTGATTAAACAAAAATAAATAAAGAGGAGCGCAGAAGAAATATTCCATACATGATAAATAAAATAGATCACAATTCATAAAGAAAAGAGCCCAACCAAAAGCTCCACCTAACCCCAAATAGCTATAAACTAAAAGGCAAGATCAATGCGAAAAGTAAGGGAAGAAAAGAAAAACATGAAAAACTGTACATTCATCAAATAAAACAAGCCAAGACCCAATTATATGTATGCATAGCTCCTAAAATTTCTTATAAGAAGAATATATAAATAATAAACAAGCTCATGGGTTTAATGAGACAAACTGAAGAACACATAAAAAACATGGCATTTAGCTGTATCAACGCTCAATAGCAGGGTTAAAAGTAAGATTATTAGTTTCCCTAAATATTTTAAAACAAAATTCCCAAAATCAGACGCAGAATTATCTTCTATAGCATCAAATCAACAAATCTTGGGAATAACTAAGAAAATACTTCAAAAATCTATATAAAACCAAAAATTCACCTAGTAAAGGTAATACTTGTAGAAGAAAATAAAGATATTCTTCTAACACTTCTAATGGAGAAAATTATTTATATAACATTTCATAACTAGTGGTTCGATTGTAGAATCAAAGAAATTGCTAAATTTATGCCCTCTGCTCTAAGACTACTGGAATAATTTAAAAGTATTTTGCATGAAAATGAATTATTATATTTTATCAAACAAAACCATGAGAAAAGCAAAGGAGCAAACATATAGACAATCATGACCAACTAATCCATTGGGACACAATAGTTACTGAAGTCAAAGCAAAACTTCAATCATCCCAATCGATTACAAAAGAAAAATAGGAGGCTGACACAAATAAAGAAAAAATATTCTTAATTTATTAAAGAAACTAGCTTGAACGAAAAAATATTTACATTCATACAACTCCCGAAATCAGAGAATGACAAGAGAAACAGGTTTTTTAATTAAAAACAAAAACTCGGAGAAAAAATTAACCTTGCCAGATCGTTTCAAATGGGCTGAGTATGGGCTGAGTACGCCTTGACAAAGACAAACTCGTGCGGGGACACATCCTTTACAGTTCGACCGACCTTCGCCGTCTCCATGCTCGATCTTCTCTTCCCAACAACCGCCGCAACTCACTGGGAATAGGGTTTCTGCCAGAATGGAGGAGAATAATTTATATCGGTGCCGAATCCACGGTTGGTGGGTATCCTGCACAAATATAAGTTAAATAAGAAAATAAAATATTATTGAATAAATATATTTTATTTTATTCTTAAATTTAATATAAATGAATATGGATTTATTTAAAATATTATTATACTGCATTAATAAGTTCTAATATGAATATTATACCTGATTATTATTATTAATGTTGAATTTTGAATTGTCTTTTGGATATATATTTCTCGAGATTAAAGCTGGGAAGAGGAGAGGGAATAAAGCGTCTGTAAATTCTCAGCAGAGAGACCGAGAAAAAGTCATCAGACCAGGGTTTCTTTATTCATTGTCTAGTCTTTTATTTATATAAGGTCTTTTGTACAATTATAGAAATGAGAGAGTGATGTTGACATCATTTTTGGTGCTCTATTTTTCTTTTTAGTACTTAGGATCTAACCATGGGACTTTTCTTTTAATTGTCATAAAAGATTAGAGATGGAATCCACCTCCATAGAAATTCAAACCACCTCCTAGCTCACTTTGAAACCCTACATGGATTGTCATGAACCTCCAGTACTTGAAAGGTCTAGACAACATGTGAGGATTCAAGGGTGAGTCCCTATAGAACTGATGAATTTAAGGTGACCCTTGGTGGCAAGGGATTGGTCTTTCACACACTCAAGCACACCACAACTCCCCACTTGTCCTAAAACCCCAAAATCGCACACATTGACCTATTTCCCTTTGCACTTTTGAAAACTTGAGTAGATAGTCCCAAGCTCTTAGACATTGGTTAAATTGGCTAAGACCAACTTGTAGAGGGTCCAAAGAGAGCTTCCCCATAAGCCTTTTTAGCCTTAGGGGACAGTTTGCATGATTTGCATGGACACCATATCCAACCAGTTCTTAAGTTCAACCAAACCACCCAAAATTACCAAAACGTTCTTAAAACCCTAAAACCCCCAAAATTGTCAAAATCCTTAAATTCATCTCAAACTTATCCAAATTGACCTTTACCATCCCAATTACCCAATGTCACCCAAAATTCCCCAAATCTATCCAAAATTAGCCAGTTTACCAAATTACCCCCAAAATCCCAAAATTTGCCAAAACTCTAATTTCACCCAATTTTACCCCAAAAATCATTTTAAACCTTTTCACATAACTTAATTACCCCAAATTTATCAAAATTCGTCAAAATGCCCAATTTTTAATAAAATATCAATTTTAATCCTAAATTGCCAAAATTACCAAAATACTCGTCATGTCCCAAAAATTCTCAAAACCTCCAAAATCATTCCAAACCTCCCTTAAACCAATCCTAGCCACTCAATGGGCCCAATTGCATCTAAATCCACAAAAATTGACCAAAATTCCTAAATTGCCCCTAAGTACCCAAAATCTCCAATTCACCCCCAATTTCCACCAACTTAATTTCAAACTTCCCCATTTCCAACTCCACGTTCAAATTCATCATGTTCTAGCCCAATTAAAACCAAAATCCAACCCAATTGAACATTGATTATAAACCTTAATTTCAACCCCTAACCCATTAGCCTCATATTGACCTAAAATCCAAAATTCACCAAATTGAGCTCCATAACCAATCCAATTTCTCTAATTTCAAATCCTAAATTCCTCATGACAATTTCCTAAACCAAATTAAGCCTTCACATGACCCAAATCCAAACCCAAACCTAATCTAAAACCAAGTCCAAGTTTAGTACCCAAAAATTGTCTCAACTTCAAATTCCATTAAATTGAACCATGTGACCAATTCAATTTCACCCAATTCACTTCCTAAACTCTTCATGACATTCCCCTAGACCTATTGGACCCTTCTATTAATTTTTAAACCAAGCCCAATTCAAGCCCAAATCCAATTTTTAGCCCAAACCCTTATTTTAAACTTAAAATCCAAATTAACCTAAACCTTGGAATTAGCCTTTGCTTAACCTTATCCTGCATTGGTTAGCCTCCTAGGATGCTAATCAAATCAACCAAGAACCAAATTTTGAGCCATGTACTAAGGGTCCCTTGAAATTCGACTAAGCTCTCTATCTGATGCCATCAGACCTCAAGCCCAAATGTAATCATAATTAAACCTTTGTTGACCTCCCTTTTGGTTGAGGTTTAGTTTTTCCTCTTTAGTAGCCAAAGGTCTAGCCATAGGACTTTCCCATTGATTATTCTTAGAAAACTAGACATGGAACCCTCACCATTAGAAATTATACACTCTTCTTTACTCGATATGGAGTTCCACATATTCGTCCTAACCTCTAGCACTTAGTAGGTGGGGTCACTATGGGGGAAACTCAAGATGGGTCACCCTTAGGACTGCTGGATCTTAGGGTTGATCCTGGGTGTTGGTCTAGGGCAAAGGCACTCACTTGCAATCACTTGCACTCACAATCACTCACTACCCTAAACCCAGAACTTCTAGGCTTTGGTCCCTTGATACTTTTGGGAGACTCCTGTAGGTGGTTCCATAAACCCATTAGCCCTAGGCTAGGGTTTGGTTAAGACCACTACATTAAAATGGGGTTTAATGGGGTTTCCATTGGTCCATGGCTTATTAATGGTGGTTGGCACTCCAACTCTACTAACATACCCAACTTAGCCTTTTGCTCATAAACTCCCCCCAATTACCTAGATACCTTTGAGACCCCAAAATTAGCCAAAATTTTCAAATCTAGCCAGAATACCCAACTTGACCCAAAAAATCATTTCAAACACCTTGAAAACACCCAAACTACCCAAAATCACCAAAATTGGCCAAATTACCAAAATACCCCTCCGTACCCCAAAATTCCAAAAATTCCAAAAAATCCCAAAAATTTCTAAAACCTCCCAAATATTCTCAATTTCATTTTGTTCAACTATCATATGACCCAATTTGGCCAATTTAACCATCTTTGATCAAAAACCCCAAATTACCCTTTAAAGGCCCATATTTTCCCCAAATCACTCCAAATGTCCATCAATTCGATCTCAATCTCCCCAAATTTCAATCTCAAACTCATATTTACCTTCAATATGACAAAAAAATCCAAATCCAAGATCAATTGGCCCATGATTTGAACCCAATTTTGATTTAGATCAAAACCCAATTTTGGCCCTATGACTTGGTTCTACCAAATTAAACCTATAGCCCACTCAATTGGCCACAATTTGTGTTGAAAAATCTTCATAGTATCCCCATACATCAAAAAATTGACCTTCAATTGGCCTTGGTGAAACCTCAATTTCATTTGATTTCAACCTAAGTCCAAAAGCCCCAAATTTGCCCCGAATTGGTCATGTCTCAAAATCTCACCAAATTGAGGGTCTTAACCCCAAAATTTCCACTCTATCCCTTCATGAAAAATCTTCACAACATCTCCCTTAACCATTTGAACAATTCAATTTAGATTTAGCCCAAGGCTAGCCCAACCTAGACTGTCTAACCCAACATGCCCAAATTGACCAAATTTCAAAAATCTTTCAAATTGACCTACCAATTGAACTCAAAATCACTTCAACCCTTCACCAAAAATCTTCATGACAATCATCTACACAATGTTGATCAATCAATTGGGTCAATTGACATGGATAACCTAGCCCAA